GGATTTTATTTGGATTTTGTTTTTATTTTTGATTGATTTGTCCATATTTTTTCACTATTGATGTTGATATCCTGTCACTGTAGGTTGAAACGACTGCGTCAGTAGGTGACAGAGACAGTGATAGGATATGTTTGGCCTAGGCAACGATGGTGATAGCTGAGGGCTTCAGTTTAGAGGGCGGCGGTGCAACTTGCCTAGTGTTTCAGAAACCCTAAGGTTTCATCTTCTCATCCGGGCCATTGGATCAAGGATAGATCCAACGGTTGGAAACGTACGGTTACTGGGGAGATAGAATGAAGCCCTATCTGTGTTGGGTTTGTCAAGTTGGGCCTATATCTGAATCAGGTGGTCCATTGTAGTGGGTTGGTTTCTTAGTGGGCTGAAGTTGATGGGTTATTCTTGTGGGCTTAGGTGTTGCTGTAGTTGGGCCCTTGTAATTTGGTTTGGGCTGATTTGTAACCTGAAAATAACAATAATAGTATTATTAGGAATAATAATAATAATAGTGATAATAATAAAATAATAATAATAATTAGTAATAAATGATTAAAACCCAGACAAAAATGGTTGTCTACAATGTTAATTCAAATGGGGACTGTCATATTATTTCAGGCATTTTTTGTTAAAGATGATGATGGAAAGATTGAAATTGCATGCATGGTGAAAATGGGCATGTCTATTTGGGAATTATGATTCTACCTACGTGGTCAGATTATTTATACTTGTTGCCTACTATAATTCATGCTTTTTAAATACATGCCCTTTTAAGTTAGTCTTTAAATTGAGATTAATTAGTAAAAATTAAAGCCAATGAAAGAGTACTAAGGCTAAGGCAATAGTGAGCCCAAAATGTATATGCTTAATAAGATATTATTGTGAGTAAAAGAATAAAGTATAATTCGAAGTCTTAAGAAAGAGAATTCATAAATGATTTATTGGAAAGTAGTGTGATAGTATGGAAGTGCATGTTTAAGATTGGTTCTATGAAAGACCTAGTATTTAAGCGTGCCTAGTGCATCACCTCTCTTTATTAGAAACCTACCTGGTGCACTTTCATTACTATGCACACTATTCCAATTTATAAAATACTGTGACAAGATAAGAACACTTTAAACTTAGTGCAGAAGTGAAAAGAGTGGAGATTATATTGGCAGAGTAGAATACCAAATTTAGTCATAGTAAATAAAATATGTGATAATTTCTTTAAGGCTAATTTATTGAATATTATGAATGAAAGAGTGACAGACATTAGTGCCAAGGATGATCTGTAGCCATTGAGTATACTCTTAAATAGAGGAAATTGATATCCTAAGGAGTTGTGTTAAATTGTTTTTTGTGTGAAATACTTGAGATAATTTTCCTATTGTTAGGAAAAGTTAAAAACTCATAAATAAAATTTGTCATAATATTCATAATTTTCTAAACACTTCTTATGAAAAGTTAGGAAAATCAAAATTCCTTTTGAATGAGAAAAAGTCTTGAAGGACTAAAATGAAATATAAAGGAATTTCGCAATTGTTTGAGAATATAATCACGTGTAAACAAAATTTGAGTTTGTTAAAACATAGTTTTATGGTTAAAACTAATAACAAACTTTACTCAAGTATGAATGAGTAAATGTGCAAGAGAATTTGTTTACACGTCATCCAAGACACTTATGGATTTATTTCTATATTAAAATGTTAGAAATATGGAGGTGTCTTAAAATGATATTAAAATAAGAGAGGAACTTAGTTGATCAGCTTATTAAAGGTTAAAGTAAGAAATTGGTTCTTGATTTATCGAGGGGGATGGGTCTAAAGCCCATTGGTTGAGCAATTCGTGGTGGATACCCAACTTTGTTATCTAAGTTCAATGTGGTCCAATGAAGTCATGGAAAGACTTATAGTGCACATTTCTACCTACATATCCCTATGACGAATAATGTACATGCACAAGATAAGTTTAATTGCTCTTAATACATTCATAGCCCAGGCTTTATGTGGTCTTAGTGAGAAAGACTTGGTGAATTTACCGATTTTTGGTTGAATATATATTCTTAATAAGTTCATAACCCAGTGTTGAGTGAATAGTCCTAATCGCGGAGGACTAGATAAACTTACCACTAAAGAGGATGAGTTTTATTAAAACTCTTAATGAATTCAAATCCAAGAGTTTGAGAGTTCCTAGTGAGAATGACATATTGAATTCTCCAATTAATGAGGTTGGATATTTATTCTTAATGATTTCTTATCCTAAAGTTTGGGTGGTTCATTTAAAAATGAACTTGAAGAAATTTACCATACCTATTGTGAAGATGAGCTATTGAAAAAGCTCTTAATTATTTCAAAGCTCAATTTGGGTGGTTTATATAGAGATAAACCTGATGAAATAACCTATATAAGTGAGAGGGATTAGCCACCTTCTATGAAAAACATTGGGTCGTTTTTCTAGTACACTTTAGATAGTGTACGAGTGTTAACGTTTATCCACATGTAACATGTATTTTGTTAATTCATATGTAACCAAATCTAAATAGATACCATGTCCTTTAGCAGGGTCCATTGGCCATTAATTATCCCTAGTTTGAACATGTTTTATGGATGAGGAATATTGTGAATGCCCCTTTAAAAAAAATCATTGAGGTGAAAGCAAAATTTGGCCCACTTTGATGGGTGTTGTATTTTGGCATTTCCTTAGTTTTTAGTATTGTGGACCAAGCTGGGATTGACTCTCCAAATTTATGTCAGGTTTTGGTTCGATATGGTGATTAATAGGTCTTCCTGATACTATTGGGCCAATTTGAAGCCGAAAATCCAAAGAAGCCTCTCAATGTCAAAGCGTCCATCAATGGCTCGAGACAAGGCGGAAGTGCTAACCAAGTTGTACCCTATTGCCGGTAGGCTCGTCCAAGACCGGAACGCCATCGACCAATGCTTCGAAGCTCCAGTTTATAATGCCCAGCTATCTATATTTGCGGGTTCCACCACCTAATTGAATATTAGCTAATATCTTACATCATCATACCCAAACTATTTAACCCCAATCTGTCTTTTCTGTTTAGGCCGCTTCTGTTTTATTGAGATCTGATTTACAATAAACAAATACTGTATGAAGTTATCATTGTTATTTGATAAGTTCTTTTGAGATAATTCTTAAAAAAAACTAAAATTTTATTGAAAATTAATAAATTTATGGAAATGTCACTCGATAACATTGTGATATAAGAAATGATCATAAGTTGGGTCTGTTCAAATCTTTTGTGTACTTGAATCTGACTCGAGTATAACACCCATCCATTTATCATACTTTATGAGTTTAAGGAAACTCTCACCCAAAAATCAACTCGATTTTAGGCTGGAATTTCACATTTCACTTTATTCGACATATATATATATTCTCATTTTTATTAGGTAAAATAGAGATATAATTAAAAAATATAGTTTGATATATTACAGTAGTTATCTTTAAATATATATAAAGGTTAATTATACTAAAATATTTTTCATCATAAACTCGATTATAATCATATCCTACGAAAAACTCAATATGACTTGAACTTGAAGTATCACAAAAACAGGTCAAATAAGAATTTATCGAATTTAGATCAAGCATCCATCCCTACCATGATATGATATGTGATGCCAATTGATCGGAAAAAAAGTATTTAGATTTACCAATTGATATTGATCAAATGAGTGAATTGATAAAACTTAAAAGTATAAGGAATAAATTAGATGAAAAAAGTTTAGGGGTTAATCTTAAATTAATTAAGTGTTGAAAAGTAAGAAGATGAGATATGGATAAAATCAGAAGGAGATAAATAATCAAGACGATTAATACGAATCCTGAGATTAGTAAATGTTTGGCTTGCAAGGAACAACCGACGACAAGGCTTGCCAATGCGGTGCTTTTCTCATATTAGTAATTGCAATAAACTTAAGGAAGTAATCCAGTGTTTGCATGCCTTTAAGCTTTAGTTTGAAACAACAACTTTAACTTGCAAGGAAAAAAATCAGAAAATACATGTGAAACCCCCATAATATGTTTCATTTCTAAAGTTGTTAGATCACTAATTAATGGTAAAAACTGAATATAAATTACTAACGAGACTAATATTTTCAAATAAAAAAAAAGGATTTAATCAAAATTAAAATATGTGACTAAATTTTAAATTTAAAATAGTAGAGGGTCCCTACCATATTTAAATCAAAGTAAAGCAGTTTCACTAGAGAATACCATTGATTAAGAAACCTGCAGCAAAGCATATAAATATAGCCATCGATTTCAGCTGATAAGATTTGGGGCATACATACATGCATATATATGTATAATGGTGGTGATGAAGATGATCACAAGAATTCGGTATGCTTCCTACAAGCCGCAAAATGGGTTTGAATCGCCGTTTCATCCTTATAATTGAGGAAACTCTGCAAGTAAGCTACCTGGTAATTTCCCCGCCAACACCCAAGGGGCGATTCATCAGCAACGACATGGGAAAATGGAGACAACCGGGCACTGACATGTTGGTCATATTACGAAATCTTCTTCACATTTTCATTTTATTTACAGACATTAACCAGTTTTCGACATTGGGTTTCGGAATTTTTTTTATTATGTTTTTTTAACTCTGTAGCGGTAGTACAAAGGACGAGAGGGTAGAAGATGATAGCCCACCAGGTGGTTCTGGAGGTTCTTCCAAGTTCAACTTCTCCCTCTGGTATGAACTCGCCCGAGTTTTTGTCTTTGGTCGAATTCTGGTTTTGGTCCCTTTATTATGTTCTAATATTGTACAGTTCCTATTTGCCATACTTTGCATCTCTATCATTAGCTATTCTAATGTTAATGTTGCTATTTTTTGAAAGAGTCATTTCTAATAGTTTGATCATTGATCAAATTTCAAGAGGATTGAAGGTATATATATATCATGTCAAAAGCTCACTGAACACTCGTTTCCCGATACAGTAAGACCTTATAAAAGCATATATAATACAGTGATTATTATCTATTTGCAGGAGAAGCAGAGATGGTGGTGGAAGTGACAGAGGATGCGGCGGAAAAGCTAGCAACGGCGGCCGAGAATATTTCATCCGAGGTGGCGGAAAAGCTTCCCGACGAAAGCAAGCTGAAGAGGGCAGCCATGGTGGTGGAACATGTTTCGGAAATAACTGCCCAAGATGCTCATGCCACAACACAATTCATTCACCAGGTAATCAATTTTTCTGGGTTAACTACTCATTAGGTCCCTATTGGTTTTTAAGTTAATCAAATCAAGCCTTGATTGGCCCCTAAAATTTCCTGATTTAATTACATATTAGGTCCTTATCAGTTTCAAAACTAGTCAAATTAATTCCGGACCCCATTTTTGTTTAAATATTTATTGGATAGAATACCTCAGAGGCCATTGAATTATGTTAAATAATCGATTTGGTTATTAAACTTTCAAAGGTTACAATATATTCACTAAATTGCAAGATTTCAATAAAATCAAATATTATTTTGTAATCGTTCAATAAATTTAGTGATTATTGAAAATCCGATGACCAAAATGAATATTTAAAGATTGTCGGTGAAGTCTAGTGTACTTTACACACATATTCATTAGGCCCATGTGGCTATTGAAATTAGATAAATTAAATTCTAACCCCTAATCTTTCTAATTTAAATACATTACAAAATTTGAACCCTCTCAAATTGTTGGTAAATACATAGGTTGAAGCAATAAAGCATGACCTAGATGGCTTGGATGCCTTGGTTGAACCCATTGTTCACAAGATCGTGAAGCAAGGACCCCCAAGAAAAATAATCTTTGATAATTACATTTATTTTATTCACTTCAATATGTAAATTACCATCCTGTTTCAAAAATTAATGGTATTAGGAAAAAGGGGTAACCATAACCAATGTTAGTCCTTCAATAGAAGATTTTAAAGGCTATTATTATCATCTTTAACTTTTTAGAGAATATTAATAGACTCGCTACAATCGAGATTGAGAATACTGGACTTGCTACAATAGAGTAAAATTAATCTACATATTAAATCTTATAGTGCTTATATATGAAAATGGATCATATTCCGTGATTAGCTGTCTACTCACAATAAAAAATAAATTGCAAATACGAATTATAGAAAATCAAAACTCATAATTCATAGGTAGTTATATATTTCACATTATATAAAGAATCAAATTTAAGAAAGAAAAAAAGAAAATACATATATATTTAATTTTATTTATACTTATAATCTTGACTAACCCGAGAATAGAATATGGAAATTACTACACTACCATAAGCGTGATCAACAATACAACCGAACGGCTTCAACAGTACCAAACCTGCTATTGCGTTGATGGAGACGATAATTGCCGGAGATGGTGTCATTGCAGTCGAAGTCTTTGATGGAGACGGTGAAGAGAGTGGTGTCGAAGTGGACGATGAAGCCGGTGATTGCTTTGAAACTGAGCAAACAAGCAATGCGAGTCCCCCGTGAAAAAAGGATCGATCCCTTCGTTGTGTGTTCGATAAAAAATAGTAAAATTGCATTCATTAAAGGTCCTAAGTATCCCTAAGTCTTAGTTTGATCCCATGACGTTTATATAAGTTTAAAGTGGTCCAGAAAATGATTTGCTAATTAATACCTTAACTCAGAATTTAATGAGATTTGAGTTGTCACTCTTAAATATACTTAATTACATAATGGAGGTGTTAATTGCTTGTTTGTTGCTTGTATGTGACTTTTGAATTGTTTACGTTTAGTCCCTGAAATTTTATATTCAATTGAGTCCCTGTTCGATGTCTGATTAATCTGGAAATTTACATGTCACTAACTAAAGATTAATAATGAATATTGACAACCTTAATTTGATGATTCACTTTGTGATTGTTTGGTTATGCGAATGACTGATTCACCCTGATTAATTGGTTGCGATTATCCTACATAGTTTGGAATGTTCTAAGATTTTAAATTATTCATTGATATTCGCTGCCTTGTAATGTGTGATGTATGACTTATATTTTGAATGCTTCCTTATAGTATGCATGATTTAGGGTTTTTATCCTATTCGACAAAATCAGAATCTAATGTACGCTTAGGTACCTGGGTATTTCTTTGTGGTTGAGTATGGGGTGTTAAAATTTTCATGTGTTTTAAAAGAATAAATTTTGGGCTAGCCACTTTGGTGGTCCCGTGTAATACTCTAGTCTGGCGGCATTCGGGTCGGATCAAATTAGGATGTTACATTTAGTGGTATCATAGTGTCATGTTTAGTTGTTCCTAGGACCTGTGGGTCAGAGTCAGTTAATGCATGTGTGAGTACATGCCTCTAGAGTGTCAAGAGTACTTTAATTTCTGAAATGATGATAATGACCCCTCATTTCCTTTAATTACATAAAAACAAAACCTACGGACGATAATGCAACTCTTAGTTATGAGGGGAGGAACGAGAGTCGTGCCTCCTTAGCTAGTGACACCGACAACGAGTTCATCCCGAACTCAGAGTATGAGGTACTACGATGTCGCAATCGGCCCTTCGAGGAAAAAGCTGACTAGTTACGACGATGAGTTTTTTTATAAAAGATTTTTAAATGAAAAGATAGGAGTCGCCACCAATCATTTTTAAGGTGCGATTGGAACAGGTAAAATCAAGCAATTTTAATAAAAAAAACATTTTTTATTTTATCAAAAAGACCAAATTTTGGTTTGGGGAAATTTAAAAAAAAAGGTTCAAGAGTCAGTTACGCATGAGGAATGATTAACAGCCCCACAATGCCCAGAAATTGGTACCTAGTTGATTACCTTCTATTTTAAAATTGAAAATTTTGAGCTTGAAGTTTTATTTAATTCAAAATTCATTATATATATGTCAATTTTAAAAAGGATATTGATTTACCAAGACCAATAACGACCACAAGCACTAGTGGAAGCTTCGTTATCGATCCCAATAAACAAACATTGTCTCTAGGATTAAGAAATCATGATGTATGATTTTAAAAAGGATATTGATTTACTTCGGGAAACAACAATGGTCACCCTCAGACATTTATGCAGAAGATACATTGTTAACTCCATAATAAATGAATATTAACTTATTTTTGAAATTGAAATACAAACAAACAATTCATTGTTGAACCTAATTATGCTAAATAGATTAATTAAGGCTTCTCTCTAACTTAAATGGTCAAATTATGGAATTTAAAGGACCTAGAGGATTAAACCTAAAAAATGTAGGCTTTAATATTAATTCTAATAGATTTTAATCAATTATTGACTTCAATAATCGAAATAGACCCTTGGGCATTAAGGAGAGGGCCAAATTGAATACTCCCTGAATTAAGGGACTAAAGTTAAATCAAATCTAAAATGGAGGCTCTAATTTTAATCATAATTGACCCTCGGGCATTAAGGCGAGGGACAAATTGAATACTCCCTAAATTAAGGGACTAAAGTTAAATTAAACCTAAAATGGAGTCTCTAATTTTATTCCTAATTGATTTTAACAAATTAAGGAATTGAATAATCAAAATAGACCCTCAGGCATTAAGGTGACGACCAAAATCGAATACTCCCTAAATTAAGCCTAAAACGGAGGCTCTAATATTAATCCTAATTGATATTAACAAATTAAGGAATTAAATAATCGAATGGCCCCTTGGGCATTAAGGCGATGACCCAAATTGAATATTCCCCTATATTAAAAGGACTAAAAGTTCAAGGACTAATCTTAAAGAATTATAAATTTAGGCACTAAACATAAAATTTAAGAAATCCGCTTAAGACTAAACTAAAATCTAAATCTAAAATCTAGGTATTAATTAGGGATTAAATTAAAGATTCACAAAATAACGCATAAATTGAAGTAATCACATAAAAATAAAAAGAAATAATTCAAAGAACTAAAAAAATAAGAATTAATGAAGCGGGTTTAATTAAAACCTATCGGTTAATAATTTACAAATTATAAGATTGATAAATTAGTGATTAATATTGAATTTATTAAAGAAATTAATTTAATAACTAAAATGTAACAAAAATAAAATACATGTACCAATTCAAAATAAACAGGAATAAATGACTAAATTAAAATAAGAAAATAATATGCTACATTCAAGCACAATCAAAAGTGAAACATTTAGGACCAAAATGCAAAAACACGATTGTATTATTTTAAAATATTTGAATTGTACTATTTTGGAACATATTTTGGGAGCTCCCATTTATAAAGTTGAGCATTTATGTTTCTATTTTATGAATTCAATTTATGTTATTTTAAAATGATGATTTTCATGAGTTTTTAAAGAAGAAATTTTGGGTTAGCCACTTCAATGGTCTCATGTAATATTTTGGTCAGGTGACTTTCGAATCGAATCGAATCAAATTAGAATGTTACAAAATAATAATCATATAAATAGTTGAGTGATTAAATATATAGTCTATCCTCGTTTTTTTTTACAATATTTAACAATTTAAGACAAATGAAATAATTAAAGGATTACTCGATAAAAAAATGTATGGTTTAGGTACAATGATAAACCTAAGATATAATTTTATTCTCTACACTTTTTCTTCACTAGTTTAGTGCATAAGATTTTATACAATGTTAGAAAGTTCTACAATATATGTCTTACACTGTAACACACTAATAAAGTAACATATCGAAACACACCATTAGTTAAATTGTCTTTATTAAACAAATATTAAAAGGGTAAATTACACATTTTGTTTCATTTTAGTATATAAACTTTAATTTTTTTAAAACTATTAATAACAATGTTTATGTGGCATGACATATTATTTTTTTATTTTTTAATTACACATCACCTTTTTCTTTATTCATCAGTATTTTTTAATTAATTTTATTCAACCAATTAGGTGGTGACTCGTGACACTACTTATGAGAATAAAAAGATAGAAAACCTTCTTACTCCTCGTATAAATTGAATTTGGATATCTCACATGAAAAACAAATCACTCAACCATTGGGTAAACTAGTCGTTTGGGTAAATTTTACCAAATTTTTTGTTTAACTTATATAACAATATCACCACGAAATTAATACTTTTCGATGATTATAAGATTCAAATATAAGACACTTTAAATTAATGATCGAAAGCTTAGCCGCTCAACTATAGTGTAATTTTTTTATTATACTAAACTTAATACTTATTTATATCATTTCTAAGTTAAAAGACTATTTTTTTAATTTATATTAATTATTATTTGAAATAATATTAATTTTAAAATATTTATTTAATTTTAAAGAATCTAAAATTTAGGGTAAATTATACGTTTAGTATTCAACCATCACCTTGATTTCATATAATATTATTTAAGATTAAATAGATAATTTACAAATAGTATTGTTTCAAATAAATAATTAATATTATTTCAAATAAATAAATAAATAATATGATTTTATAATATTATAAATATATATTTTAGAATAATTTAATATAAATTTTATATAAATATATTTTTTATTTCTTAGTAAAGTGAAAAAATATTCTTTAATTTAATAATGATATAAGTATTAATTTTGATGTAATAAAAATAGATTTGCATCATAGTTGAAAGACTAAGATTTCGATCATTAATTTAAAGTGTCATATATTCAAATTTTATAAACATCGAAAAATATTGATTTTGTAGTGATACTATTATATAAATTAAATACAAAATATAGAAAAATTAAATTAAATGACTAGCTTAACACAATGGTTGAGTGTCTTTCATTTCATGAAAGAGTCATAGGTTCAAATCATACTAAGAGTAAAAATTATTTGATGTGGAAATTAAAAAATATAAAAATGATGTGTCACGCCACATCTACATTGTCATTAATGGTTTTGAAAAAAAATGTAGGAATTAAAACGAAAGAAAAATCATAGTGTAGGTTCTAAATATATAATTTTATCATTTTAATATTTACTTAATAAGAATAATTTAATCAGAGTTTTGGTGTGTTGTTTTAATGATGTGTTACGGTTTCTTGTTTTAATATTTACTTAATAAGAATAATTTAATCAGTGTTACAGTATGTGACATGTGACGTACGCTGTAAGCTCATCTATAAAATATTTATATTAAATAAATCCGTAAATTATTAATTAAGTTTTATTTCAACTTAGACAGCTAGTATTGTATCATTTAAAAAGACATAAATCTGAACATAGTTAAATACTATCACATCAAACTTGAATATATTTAAATACTCTTTAAATCTATATCTACTTAGATGTTACAATTATAATATCAATTAAATCAGTACTTAATAATTATATATTTCTTAGTATTATTTCTGAGACTAAGCGACAATGGAATAGAAACAATTTCAAAACGGTTTCATGGAAATAATTGTTTTTGTTGGCTATTGTTAATGGCTACAAAAATGGGTGGCTTTATCCAACGAGAAGGAACGATGGACTCACAAAATGTATGAAATTTTCCCTCCAAACAAACAGAGGCTTAATAAAATTCTCAAAAGTCAAAACAATAAAGGAAGGCTTAATTATGAAACAAGTGTCCAAACTATAGTAATTTTTACAAGTAGATGCTTAAACTATTTTTTGAATGATTAAGGTGTCCAACGTTACAAACGTTATTACTTTAGGTGTTTGGACTGTAAACATCGTTAGTTATCTCTATTAAGTGACATGTGTTATGTTCTGGTAATTTTAATTTTTTTATTAAAATTATGTATTTAAGAAAACACACAAAAATTTTGAAATAGCCCTAAAACTTTAAAAATATTCATTTTAATCTCTAAACCCACACCGGCCGTTGCCCTTTGTCATCAACAAAACTCCTCCCGACCTCACCTCCCCCTAGAGATCAATACCCCTACGAAATTGTGACCGATCGACGACCAATCGATTTTTTTACCTCGTGAACCTTAGGATGAAAATCACGATTCTAACGGTCAATCGACGACAATTTCGATAACGTATGACTAGGAGGATGGTAGGGACTACATCGGCGACGATGGTTGTGGTCGAAAAGAACGACTGTGGCGGATTAGGCTTAAGGATTTATGATTTTTATGATTTTGGGGGTTTTTGTAATTTAAGAAAATTTAGGCTTTTATAACTATAATAATATTTTTAATTTAAAAAATTTAAAATTACCAAAATGTGACACATGTCATTAAATAGAGAAAACTAACAATTGTTGCGATCCTGTCCGAATACCTAAAGTGTTAACGTTTGTAACGTTAGTCATTGGAATCATTCAAAAAATAGTTTAAACACATACTCGTAATAAACACTATAGTTTGTACACTTATTTCATAATTAATCCATAAAGAAATTTCCCTCCCGTAGAATAGTGGACAAACCCGACCCGATTCACCACCAACCACCAGTTTTAGAGAATCAGATTCATCGTTCTCTTCGGGATTTCCGTTCTTTACAAATATCAAAGGTCACATTCAGTCCCTGGTTTTCATTTTATTTTTCGTTTCATTTTCCCTCAATCGATGGAGAGCTTAGCCCTCCACTCTTTATCCACCACTTCCTTCTCACTTTCCTCCCGCACTTCCCTTCATCGCCGCTCTAAACCCATCACAAAATCATCCCAACCGTCCGTTTTCCCTTCATCTTCGATCCCCACCCTCCGAACTCCGGTCAACCCCATCTCATTCGATGCACTGCCCAATAGACCCAAGCCCCTCCTTTCACCAATCCGGGCGGCCGCTTCTCTAAACGCCAACGACCCACCGTCTCAAACGACAACCTCTCCTCCACTTCCCCAAGGAGCTAAGCTATTTCCTTTGTTTCTATCAGTTTCAATTGGTCTCATTGTTCGTTTCATCGTTCCCAAACCCATTGAAATAACACCACAGGCATGGCAGCTCCTCTCCATCTTTTTATCCACAATCGCCGGTTTAGTCTTGAGCCCTTTACCCGTCGGAGCGTGGGCTTTTATTGGCCTAACAACTTCAATTGTCACCAGGACGCTGCCGTTTGCATCCGCCTTCAGTGCCTTCACCAATGAAGTCATTTGGTTGATCGTCATTTCCTTCTTTTTCGCTCGCGGATTCGTTAAGACGGGGCTCGGTGATAGGATCGCTACTTATTTCGTCAAATGTTTGGGAAAAAGCACGTTGGGATTGTCTTATGGGCTCACTTTGAGTGAGGCCTTGATTGCGCCGGCGATGCCTAGTACTACGGCTAGAGCTGGTGGGGTTTTCTTGCCCATTATCAAGTCATTATCTCTGTCTGCTGGAAGCCGGCCGGGAGATTCGTCATCTAAGAAGCTTGGGAGTTATCTGATTCAATCGCAGTTTCAGGTTTGCCTTATTTCTAGTTTTTTAGTAATCATCACCTTCTTAGTTTATTATCTCAACGTTGTTAGTTCTAATATATGTGCGGGGTATAATTATTTTCATAATGTTAGATTCTTGAATTAGACATTTGGTATGCTGTTAGATTAATCTGGATTCTGGGTTTTAAATATAGTTAGCTATTTCAACTAGTGAATATCTTTAACTTAGTTTATTTTTTTTTTGTATTATTAGTTTGAATTTATGGGTGGGAATAATTAAACTTAATACTTAGATTCTGGAAGTAGGCTTTTGTTACTCATGTTGGATTAATCTGGATTCTGGGTTTAAAATAGTTATGCTCTTTGATTTCTGTATGTCATTTGAACTTGTATCTTTTGTTCCTCCTTGCATTAGTAGCTTTGGGTCTTTGACTTATGCATTACTCGTGGATTGTCTACGGCAGTCTGCTGGAAACTCTAGTGCTCTTTTCCTGACTGCTGCGGCTCAGAATTTGCTATGCCTAAAATTAGCAGAGGAGCTTGGGATTATTATTTCGAATCCTTGGGTTTCATGGTTCAAGGCTGCTAGTGTACCGGCACTTGTTTCTCTACTGCTTACTCCGCTTATTTTGTACAAGCTTTATCCTCCCGAGACCAAAGATACACCAGATGCCCCTGCAATGGCAGCAAAGAAACTAGAGAACATGGGTCCTGTCACGAGAAATGAATGGGTCATGATTGGAACAATGATTCTTGCAGTTACTCTATGGGTCTGCGGGTAAGTCATAAGTGGCAATTCATCATACGATTCACATTTCTTTCTATTTGTGCTGAGAAGTTTATGTCTTTGCATTTAATGTTTGTGTGCACGTGTAAATACCCCGTTACCCTTTATTGTTAAGCTGTGCACATGTGAATGTTAAAATGAGTATACCATCTTGAATTACTTTTGACGCATATTTTGAAAAAGGAACGTGATTACATATTTGATATATTAGTTGTCAGATATAAAACCTGGAAACCTAGACACCAAAAATAGATAGGAAGTTGTGGATGCGTCATCAATGAAGTTTAACTTCGATCAGTTGTGTACTATAATGTTTAGGAAATAGTTTGTTTTGATAAATGTAATTTGAAGTATTGAAGCACGGTTGTTCAGAAAATTAAGCAATCACTCATTTGCCCTTCTTTAGTTGATTTTAACATCAACATGTGAATAAGATTTTCACTTGTAACTTATTGCAAGTTGATATTATATTGCTCTCAATGGTTCAAGGCGATAGAAAACTTTCTTAGATTTTGACCCGTGTGCATGCATCCTTTAACATTTCTTTTACCATCTATAGACAATCTCCATCCGTGCTCATATGCTGCAAGTTTGTAGCTATAATTTTTGTGGTCTGAGGTTAGCTTCAGTAACATAATTTATTACTTTTTCTGACTTGTTGATCCTAAACCATATACAGAGAGAAATTCGGAATTCCAAGCGTTGTGGCTGCAATGATTGGTTTGTCAATACTCCTTTTGCTAGGCGTGCTCGACTGGAATGACTGCTTAAGTGAAAAATCAGCTTGGGATACATTGGCTTGGTTTGCTGTTTTGGTAGGCATGGCAGGCCAATTGACAAACCTAGGGATAGTGAGCTGGATGTCTGGTTGTGTAGCTAAGTTCCTTCAATCTTTCTCTTTGAGCTGGCCGGCTGCATTCGGTGTTCTTCAGGCATCTTACTTTTTTATCCATTACCTATTTGCAAGCCAAACCGGTCATGTAGGTGCATTATACTCTGCTTTTCTTGCCATGCACTTGGCAGCCGGAGTGCCGGGTATATTAGCGGCACTGGCTCTTGCTTACAACACCAATCTTTTTGGTGCCATAACACACATTATAGCAGTGGTCAGGCCGCTGTCTACTATGGAGGTGAGAGTGTCTCTTTTTTCTTCACTTTATTTTGTATACACCTGCATATGAGGCCGTCTTTTATCTGCAATTGTTAATAGGATTTGCATCGGATAACTGATGAATTCTTTTGGTATTTCTTTTTGACAGCCGGATATGTAGACCTACCGGATGTATTCAAAATAGGATTTGTAATGGCTTTTATTAATGCCATTGTCTGGGTTGTGGTTGGAAGCTTCTGGTGGAAAATTTTGGGTCTCTTCTGATTTAATTACCCTCTGACTGTGAGTGCCATCCTTCCCTGTTGTAAGCTCAATTTGAATTTACTTCCATAGAAACCTTTCACAGCGACCTATTTTAACTGTTGATTAAATATTTCATTCGATTCAAATCGATATATCTCCCATGTGATTCAGACACGTTCGATTCTCTCTCTTAACAACCCACTTATAGCAATGGGTAAATACACAAATAGGGTCTAACTCTCCTCCCTCATACGAGTCTGATCTTTTAAAACTATCAAATAAATATTTAAATTTTCAAATTTACCCTCAGTCTTTAAAACTTGTCAATTTGACCCCTGCTATTTTTCATTTTACTCCCAACCAGCTTACAAACCTCAATTTTATGATATTTAGCCTTAAAAATCATTAGGAGTATTTGCTTCACAAAATGTAATATTAACTCTAAAAGTAAAATGTTATATTGATCATTACTTTTAAAATGATAACAGAGTATAATTTGAGTAACTTGTCATTGAAAGAACAAAATCTAAATTCAATGACCAAGTTAATAAAGTAGGCAAATCCATGACTAATACGGACAACTAAAAAGACTTGGGGTACCAAAATGGGCCAAATTGTCAAGTTTAAAAGTGTGAGAATAGGGATTGCCATGGATCATGTCAGGTCTAGGTTTTGGTCCATTCGAGCTCGATCCGAGCATAATACATTTCCTTCCACCTATCACCCGATTCGATCGAATTTATAGAAAAATTCGACTCAATTTTTAAGGTAAAAACTTGACTTGACTCCATGCGACCTGAGCCAATATATATACTCATTTTATTAGGTAAAATATGAACTTAATTAAAAAATTACAGAAAGAGAGATATTATATCAGTTGTTCTTAAATATATTTTTCACTTTAAATTTCAACCGACTTGACTAGATCCGAACAATTTTTTTAAAAAAAAATCAATCGTATAAAATTAAATGTCAAGCTGTCGGGTTCATATACTTAGTCAAGAATAATTTTCAAAAACCACATTTCCTTGTTTGCGCATGAAGTACAGATCCCTAGACATACCCCTATTTAATTAGGGTTTAGAAATGTCAACAACAACCTCTAAAACGTTACATCATGTATTTAGACTAACAATGTATTTTGGTAGTAAACAAGCAAGGCAACAACGATGAATTGACTGTTCAAGCTCCGAAGAAGTCAATAGGTTACAATTAATGCAAGTCCTGTTGCATTTTAAACGTGAAATTATATCAGTCAATCATTGACAGTAGAACCGACCTCCGTGGGCATCCCAATGGTGTCTATGGCTTTCCTTTTGGTGGTGGTTATCATGTTCCGGCAGATGATACATGGATCTCAAGAACCGGCGTGCCATTTTAACGACTTAGCCGCCCTCAAAGGTTTCTCCAAGAGTTTAGAATCGGATATTGGCGGGTGGAACTGGAACAGCTCCAACTGCTGCTCCTTTACAGGCATCACCTGTGACCCTTCCTCTGCATCAAATGAAAGAGTAGTCCGGTTGGAGCTTGGGAACACAAGACTTACAGGGACATTATCTGACGCTTTGGTCAGATTGGGGCAACTCAGAATCCTGAACCTCTCTCATAATTCTCTCCACGGTACTATTCCTACGAACCTGTATCATTTTTGGAACCTGGAAATCCTTGACTTGAGAAACAATTATTTCGTCGGTTCATTTCCTTCTGTAATTCGTTTACCATCACTCAAGTATCTCGATCTCTCCAAGAATTCTTTCTCGAGTTTCCCTGGTAAACAATTCTGTCAAACTTCATCTCGTATTCGCTATCTTAATCTTGCAAATAACTTGTTCAGAGAAGCTTCCTTACGTTTGGATAACTGTACTTCATTGTGTTTTGTTTTCCTTAATGGAAATGGTCTGTCTGGATCTTTCCTGGAGAGCTTGTTCCTGCTGCAACATCTCAGAGTACTTCACCTTCAACAAAATATGTTTTCAGGGCCTCTGAGTTACGGAATCAGTAGCCTTTCTAACCTTGTTGAACTCGACATCTCCTCAAATGGCTTCGATGGAAGTCTTCCGGATGTTTTCGGGAGACTGAGAAAGCTAGAATCGTTCTCTGCCAGCTCAAATAGATTAACTGGATTATTGCCTGTTTCTTTAGTGAATTCTGCTTCACTTTCCAGGATTGATCTGCACAACAACAGCCTATCTGGTCCAATCCGATTAAATTGTTCAGCAATGACCCGAGTCAACTGGCTCAGTTTTTCATTTAACAAGTTTCAGGGGCCAGTTCCTGCTAGTCTTTCCTCATGCCGGAACTTAAGAAATCTGGATCTTACACACAACAAACTTGGTGGTGTAGTTCCATTCCAGTTTAAAAATCTGCAGGCACTACAGTTCCTCTCTTTGGCTAATACCAGCATCAATAATATATCCACAGCACTTGAGATACTACAACACTGCAAAAGATTGAAAATATTGGCCCTTGGTTTGAACTTTTACCAGGAGGAAATGCCTAGCAACGTGAATCTGCAATTCCCAAGGCTCAAGGCACTTATTATTCCATTTTGTTACCTAAGAGGTTCTCTTCCAATTTGGTTGAGTAATTGCAAAATGTTGCAAATGCTGGATCTGTCATTGAATTCATTGGGAGGTTCCATTCCTTGTTGGGTAGGCAAGTTCAAATATCTCTTTTACTTGGACTTGTCTAACAATTCCTTTTCCGGGGAGATACCGGAAAGTTTAACAGGGCTAGAAAACCTTGTCCACACTACAGCTCTACTCAAAGAATCATCTGAACACTTCTCACTGGTAAAAAGCACCGAGCAAGGTAAGCGTCGCTTGAGATATAAGGATATGTGGAGCTTCCAGCCGACGATCGACTTAAGTTGGAATAAGTTAAGTGGACCAATATGGCCAAGCTTCGGAAACTTGAAAAATCTTCATGTTCTGATATTGAAAGAGAACAACCTTTCAGGAACCATTCCAGGTAGTCTGTCAGGGATGACAAACTTGGAAGTATTGGATTTGTCTCATAACAGTCTCTCTGGTGAAATACCTGCTTCACTGGTCCATCTCAGCTTCTTGTCAATGTTGAGTGTATCATACAATAGGCTTCATGGGGATATACCTTCTGGAGGTCAGTTTTTGACATTTCCTGAATCAAGTTTTGAAGGGAACCACGCTCTATGCTCTACCATACTCAGACCTTGTCTGCCAAAACAGATTCCTCCACTTGTTGTGTCCCCAGCTGAAAATATGAAGATTGTGGGTTGGAATTTTGGCATTGGAGCTGCATTTGGCTTCATTCTCATCGTCTTCTTTTGCTTCAAATCAGGCTGGGTGCATCCCAGACGATGACAACCATATTTCAAGACGAAAATAGCTACTAAAACTAAAGTGTTTGCTAGTGCAAAGCATATTTTCAAAGAAGTAGTTTTAGGATTCTTAAAATAGAATTTGTGTTTTAGTTTATATATATTAACATTTAATATTATCAAATTGTATAACTACATTTTATTTTAGATAATATAAAACTTTTAAATTAGAAAACCAATTTTATTTTCTATTTTGGATGAAACCAGGGTATCAATCACCGGTCCAAAAAGTATTCTCTGAAAAGTGATCAACTTATTAGAAAATACACTATTATCTTTACATATGATACCAACTACAATTAAAGCAATGTCTATCACCATTACACAACAAACTTAGTTAACTATTAATATGTTTCTAATTAAGTTTAGTTTCAAAAATTCAAGTGACATTGGATAATTAGGAAATAGATAAAAAAAAATAAGATTTAAAGGTTTCTAAGAATTTTTCAGAGAAAGACGCAAGGTTTTAAGAAGAGAAAAACTTCATTCAAAATTCAGATAATTTATCCTTAGCTTAGTTACACGTTTTATTTGTTTACATTGTACCTTCCCCTAACCGAATTGCCAGACAATACTATTAAATCTAATCAATCGATTCCTTTATAGGTGCCGTTGGCATGACTCTTTCCTCAGATTGGGCTAGGTTTCCCATTCGGCCTCTAGGTGGCCTTACTCTTCATCAATTCTCCTGTGCCTTTCACGTTCTCCATTTCCACATTTTTCGTTCTCCTTTGTATTCCCAATTTTCCAAATCGAAATCCTTTACCCAATTTCCAATTTCCCTAATTCTCCCTTGTCTTTTCCGATTGTTTCTACATCTATGCTTCTCGTGACAATACCCCCTCTATGAGAGGATACTTGTCCCCAAGGATTGAACTGTGGAAACTGAGTACGAAGAACTAGGTATTCGTCCCAAGTGTCGTGCGTCTCGTCGAGATTCATCCACCAAAATAAAAGTTGCATTACTGGGCGATTTTGTTGTTTCATGATTCTTTTGCGCAAAGCCATCAAGGGTTGAACCTTAATTACTTGGCCATCATTAGCAACCACTGGTGGTTTGATGGAAACCAATGATTTATCCCCAAGCTTCTTCTTTAGAAAACTCACGTGGAAGACCAGATGTATTCGAGAGTTGGTAGGTAACTCCAATTTGCAAGCAACATTTCCAATTTAGGCCAAAATTTTTGCAAGGACCGTAGTACCTTGCTGCTAATTTGAGGTTTTTCTTATGGCCAGGGAAGATTGGTGATATGGCTGCAACTTTAGTAAACTTCACCAACTGCAAATTGTCTCACTTCTTCTTTTATCCGCTTGCTGTTTCATTCTATTATGAACTAGGTGTAACTGTTCTTTAATTATTTTTCGTAATTGCTATGTCATGAAGTAATTTATTCACTCTGTGCACAATTGATTCGTTTTTTCACTGCATTGTTGAGGGTTTGTAGCCATATAATGCTTCAAAAGATGTTAGTTTCAAAGTCGTGTGGCAGTTTGTACTATACCACCACTCTGTTTGTGGCAGCCACTTGGCCCACTGAGTAGGTTTAAGAAAACATTGGCCTCGTAAGTATTGCTCGAGATACTAGTTAACACGCTCGGTCTGCCTATCTGTTTCAAGATGATAGGCGGTGCTGAAAAGTGTCTCGGTCCCTATCTATTTCATCAATTCTTTCCAAAATATGCTGGTGAATGTTTTGTCCCGATCTGATATAGCCATTCTAGGTTGCCCGTATAGCTTATAAACTTGATCCATGTAAAGTCTAGCGACATCAACAACTGAGTAAGGGTGAGATAGGGCGAGGAAGTGAGCATATTTAGTGAATTTATCAACTATCACTAAGATACAATCCTTCTTCATCGAAGTAGGCAAACCCTCTATAAAATCCATCGTAATTATATGCCATGCTTGCTCGGGAACTAGAAGAGGTTACAACAGCCCCGATTTTGAAACATGTTCAATCTTTGTACGTTGGCAGGCCTCACAGTATAGGACATATTTTGTGACCATTTTATTTAGTCCATACTAATAGAAATAAGATTTTAGTCGCTGGTAGGTTTCTTGAACACCAGAATGACCTTCTTGAAGAGAATAGTGTAATGTCTTCAAAAGTTGCAGCCTTAAATTTCTAATGGAACCAGTAAAAGCTTTGCCCTTGTATCTCAGAATTCCTTTACAAAATGTCTAACTGTCACTAGCATTCTTTGTAATACTCAGGGAACTGATCCATGTCTTTGCTAATTCATTATCCTTATAACTGTCCTCGACCTCTAGAAGCCAACTGAGGGTTATTGTAGTCACCCTAATTTTCTGAAACCGACCTTGTTCCTCCTCGCGTCTTGATAGAGCATCAGCCACGACATTGCTTTTACTTTTTCCTGTTTTGGATTGTATAATTCAGACCTAATAATTTAGTCAAACCTCTCTTTTGAATTGTTGTTGTGAGTTTCTACTCAAGTAAGTACTTGAGAGGTTCATGATCTATTTTAATCATGAATGGAGCTCCTTCAGGGGTAGTGATGCCATTTAGAAACAACCAACAATATGATAAGATATTTCCTATCGTAAATTGAGAGTTCAACGTGCCTCGGACTAAGTGCTTTGCTAAGAAAAACAATCATATGCCCTTATAGGGATAACACCACACCAATCCCAGATGAGCTCACATCCGTTTCAAGATAGAACGTTTTAGTAAAATATGAAAGTGCTAACACCGGTGCACAACACGTGGCTGATTTAAGGTGTTCAAAAGCATATCAAGCCTTCGAAGACCATACGAACCTCTTTTTTAACATTTGTGTTGGAGGTCTACTTAACTCACCGTAACTTCTCATGAACTACCTATAGTAACCGGTTAAGCCCAAGAAACCCTTCAGTGCCTTTAAGTTTGTTGGTAAGGCCATTATTTCATAGTAGCTATCTTAGAAGGATCCGTTGACACCTTTTAGGTGAAATGATATGGCCATGGTACTCTACATGAGGTTGACCAAAGAAGCATTTAGACTTCTTAACAAATAATTAATGATCATTTAGGAGTTATAAGACCGCTCGTAAATGATATACGAGGGATGCCATAGTGTGACTGTACACTAAAATATCATCAAAAAAACACAAGAATAAATTTTTAAAGGTAAGGGTTAAATAAATCGTTCATTACATAATGGAATGATACCGAGGCATTTGTTAGGCTGAAAGACATTGCCTTAAATTCAAAGTGGTCGTGATGTGTTCGGAAAGTCATCTTGTACACATTCTTTGACTTAATCCAAATATGTCAATACCTTGAGCGCAAGTCTATCTTCGAAAAAATACATCCTCGTGAAGTTCATCCAGAAGGTCCTCCACAATCGGAATAGGAAAATTGTTTTTAATGGTCTGCTGATTGAGTTGTCAATAATCTACACAAAATCTCTACATTCCGTCTTTCTTCTTAACTAGTAAATAGGGAGAGGCAAAGAGGCTCTTCCTCGGTTGAATAATTAAGGTTGCGAGCATCTTTTTAATCTGTTTTTCAACTTCAGTCTTTTGATGATGAGCAAAATGGTAAGACTGTAAGTTGACAGGAGGAGTATCTAGGTTGAGAATAATTGGGTGATCACGGGTTCGTTGAGGTGGCAACCCTTGAGGTTCCTAAAAGATATAACTTTACTAGTCTAAGAAGGGATGCAAGACTGCAGGCACGAAAGTTTCCACCTTTTCAACTGTCAAAAAATATAACTTGCCTACCAAATCAGGGTTTTTAGCAGCCAACTTTTGAATTCTTTCACCTGTCATGCATTTGAGAAGTGTAGGGTTATTTTGGCCTTTTATTATAATGTATTGTCCTTCCTTTTCAAAACCCAAAGTTATTTTATTGAAGTCCATCAATATTGGATTGAATTGACGCATCCAGTGATCCCAAGCACCATGTCACTACATCCAACCTGTAAAACTTGAAAATCATAGTGAAAAAGTGTCCATGCATTGACCAACATAATTGTTTGGACTTGACTGAGCTGAATAATTGTTCACCATTAGCTATGGTCATGGCCATAGAATTAGTAGTGACCACCTATGTTCCTGCTTTAGCCCACTTGGTGTTAAGAAGCTGTGGGTGCTACCACTATCAATAAAGATGGTTAGTGGTTTACCTTTAATCAATCCTCGAATATGTAAGATATTTTTACTCACATTTTCTGGGATTGCGTCTATAGAAATTTCTAGATTTTCTTCTATTGGGATTGGTGTGTCATTCGTGTCGGTTTGAATGTTACCCTTATTATCATGGTAATTCATCTCTTCTATCAAATAAATCTGTCGAACCTTACATTGGTGACGAGGGGTGAATTTGTCTCCACATCGAAAGTACAAGTTATTTTCTTTGCGATATTCAACCAGGGTATTTCTATTTTGTTGTGGCTGTAAGGTTTTAGTAGGGTTTATGGTTTAGGGTGGTCTAACATAAGTTGGTTGGGTTGGGTAGGGTGGGTTACTTCGAAAGGTGGGTTTTTGTCTCTTATTCTCAAATTCCACTAAGATTTCATACAATTTAGCTTGCTTACAAGCTTCATCCACCTTTCTTGGGCCCATGGCTTTAACCCTATGCTTTAGCTCATCCTTTAGTCCACTACTGAACATCGACACAAAAATTTCTTCACTCAAGGGGTTTTGCATCAGCATGTAGGGTTTTAATTCTTCAAACTTTTCTTATTATTCTTTCATCGATCCTTGTTGTGTTAACTTGTTGAACTCCTCCACTATGTCTGGAAATGTTCAGTCGTTGAATCGGTGACACATGTCACCCTCGAACTCATGCCAATGTATACGTTGTTTTTGCATTATGTAACCATCGAACCAAGTCTAGGCGTTGCCCATTAAATGCATAGCAATCATCTCTAGTCTTTGTTCTTTAGGAACCCCAAATAACTGAAACAATTTCTAGCATTTTTGCAACTAGCCCCTTGGATCCGTGCCATCAAAAGTTTGGAGCTCAATTTTTGGTCTTCGATATGAGAATCCTGAGTTCCCATAAGATCGCCCTAAACCTTTTCTTTCCTCTACAAACTCCTCACGAGCTGTTTTAACTTCACTGCTATTTTATTCTTGGTTTCCCAACTTAAGGTGTTGATTCAGTGAAAGGTCAGAGGGTTTAGGTTGAAGAATACCTAGTTCATCGGTATGATATGAAAATCTAGACTTGTCATTGACCATAGTCACCTGGACTGGCTTCTTTCCATCTGTTTTTTTGTAGGAGTGGCAGTCTTCTCCAGGTCATTATCACCTTCTTGCTCATCCTTTTTTCCTGTCAAGATCCATAGGATTTGTTCCACTACCCCTGGTTCGTTGCCATCCTTGACTCTAGAATGCTACTGGGGTTGTTCTGTGTCTTCCACCATTTAGGGGGCTCGGATACATCAGTTTCTTCTTTCGCCAGTTTGGTCAAGTCTTCGATTTGCTTCTAAAACGCAGCAAGGTCAGCAGAATCATCCATTGATTGATTCTTTTTTGTTTACCCTGCTTGGATTTTACTAGGAGTTTCATCTCTGATGCTAAGTTGTAATGGTTTCTAATAATTTTTTATAGATAATTAGGAGAAGAGAAAGAAGTAAGGTTTTCAGACGAGAATAACTTCATTCTACTGGTGTGACTCTTTCTTGAAATTTTAAACTTTTATTTGTATTCAAATGGTGGAACATTTAAATAAAATTAAATATAGAAATTCAAACTCAAATTGAAAATAAAAACTTAATATTTACATAAATACAATAAAATATGTTTACAAAAACTGATAAGAGCATATGTGATTTAAACATTTAATTACATGCCAAACAAATTCAATACAACAAAATAACATATTACTTAAATCGTTTCTGATATGATCTTCGGTAGAGATATGCTGTCTTGACTTGTCATAGCTTTGTTCTTTCGGCTTCTTTGAACCTACGTGTGAAACACTCACACGCTAAGTCTTTGACATAGTGAGGAATAAAATGCATAAATAAAAATTAAAACATTTAATCTTATTCTTAGCTTTTATATAAAAGAAATCATAGAATAAAGAAGCTATAGTACATTTCATTAACAAACACATATATTATCATGCACTGTTCATTCATGTTATTTCTTTTAATAGCCTATGGTACATCACTGAGAACTCAAGGTATGTGAGTGCATTGAGGTTGTGCACTGGGTTGCAGTCGAAACTGCCACATAAAATTGTACCGAAGTGTCGCATAGAATATGCACCGAAGTGCCACATAGAAATATCCCGAAGGATCGCATATATATGTCTCGAAGGACCACGTAGAATTGTCCCGAAGGACTGCGTAGAACCCTCGACTCTTGGCATGCCAATTATATATTTTGCACTCATATCACATACTTGTGGGCTTTACCATTTATACCATTTCTCATAGCA